TTGTAGAAGGTCTCAATTTTTGGATCTTTCGCTCCATGTATTATAACACCTCAGGTCCAAGATTCGAAATTCGAATTCGGCACCTAATTGTCTCGACATTCTCTTGCGACCCGGCTACGCCACCGTTTTTATCTGAGCTACTTAGAATAGTGAGACTTGTCACTAAAGACAAACACAAGTCCTTTTAGCATGATTTGTCTTCACTCAATGCTTCCTAAGTAAATCAACTAGCAGGTCATTTAACTGAAGATTGCTCCAAGCCAAGCACACTTAAATTTGAAGTTCGTATATGATTGAGTCACCGAAAAGAAAAGTGCACATAGTTAGGATAGGTAGTAATATCAATTATTTAAGCCTTTCTTAACTATGCTTCCATGATCTTAGAATCCCTCTTATTTGAATGTGGTGCCGGTTCATCCATGTACCCTCCTCTTTAATCGGGTGTCACATGTTCACCATCTTTCACTTGGTTTGTCCTCGAATAACATCGTACTAGGAGAACTTTTGCTCTGATATCATTTTTAACCATAGGCCCAAGATCCAGATCAGGAATCAAAATCTAGATTTGACACCTAATTGTCCAGCATTCCCCTATATCCCCTGTGACCTGGTTGTGCCATCGTCTTTATCTGAGCTATTTAGAAGAGTGAACACTCTTCCTACAAACAACACGAGTCCTTTTAGCATTCTTTATCCTCACTCACATGCTTCCTAGTAAATCAACTAGGAGGTTACCAAACCGAAGATTGCTCAAAGCCAAGCACGCTTAGCTTTGATTGAGCCACTGAAAAGAAAGGTGCACATTGTTAATATAGGTAGTAACTAGAAATTCTTTTAATCCTTTCTTAACAATGCTTCAATAATCATAGGATCTCTACCATTCAAATGTAGTATCGATTCATCCGTTTACCCCTCCTCTCTACTCGAACGTCATACGTATTTTCTAAAAAACAAAGTCATAGGAACGTAGGTTCAATGCTAGACCAACTACTCCAAGAGCACTCGTCCATAAACTTGTTACTCGTACAAATAATATAAATAAATGTAACAAACATTTATTGGAATAAAGAACTCAAAATATTTGGGACCAAAAGTAGGTAGTAACTATTGAATAAGTTCCTTCAGCTTGAGTTCAATTAAAAGTTCGAAATGTATTTACACCATCCCAATCTTCAAATAAGGTATATCAGTTAGTACATCAAAGTATATGAATTAGCTAATATATCTTATTTGAGGTACATCACTAATATCATATCTTTTATGATTGATATACTACGTAGCAAGGTATACCAACAATATTTGATATATCTTGTATGAAGTTTATCGATGTATATTTGACAGATCTTAAGATATATTTCATATAAGATATATAAAAAATAATATATGTTTATGTACTACATACAAAGTATGTGAGTTATAACTTTATATATAAGATATATTATGTACGAACTAAATCATTATTTATACTTGATATACCTAGTATGCAGTTATCTAGATATATTACTAATAACAACTAATATATTTTGATGTACTTCATACAAGATGTATCAGTTATCGATGTACTTCATTACTAGGTACATTAGTTATAACAACTGTACTTCGTATAAGGTAAATCATGCTATGTAGATCAGTTACGATAAATTTCGTGTAAGGTAGATAAGTTAACTGATATACCTACCAGGTATAATTCATGAATGTATATTAGCTCTACTTGCCGCACCTTAATGCTATTGATATAAACCTAAGGGTAAAACTAGAATAAAACTAGAATAAGTTAAAATTGAAAGATAAAGAATTCAAATATTTTGCCATATTTGCAAAATTCAATTTGTTCTACATATACTATACACGGGTTTAACAATATATTGATTGTGTTGAATAATATGTAGGAGGACAAATGCTTTGAGCGTCCCTTGGTTCAAAAGTTAGCATGGGATTCGATTCAATATTTTGTAGAACCTCTTTTTAGGAGCAGGGCGTTTAAAAAATTAAGAAACCATGCTCTCCAAATAACCAAGAGCCTCATTGATTATGAAGATCATAATAGCCGTTACATCACAATTGGATGTGTGGAAAAGGTAATTTACTCATATAACTCAATTTGTTGTTTGGTTATATAATTAATTAACTAACTTAATAATCAAATAAATGGGAATTGAATTGATATGGTGGAGAGTTATTGAATTACATGCAGCCATTATTTATGGTAGCTTGTTGGTCTGACAATCCCAATGGAGAAGCTTACAAAAGGCATCTTGCTAGGGTCAAAGATTACTTATGGGTTGGTGAAGATGGAATGAAGATGCAAGTTAGTATTATTTCTTAAATAGAAAGATATATTTTTTTTAAGAATAACAAAATAAAGTGCAAAATAATTTATAATTTATGTATGCATTTTTGTCTGGACAGAGCTTTGGTAGCCAATCTTGGGATGTTGCTCTTTCCATTCAAGCGATTCTTGCAACTAATCTCCACCATGAATTTTCAGACACGCTTAAAAAAGGACATGATTTCATTAAAAAATCACAGGTACGTTCGGTCATGATCATGAACATGTGTGTAGCTAATTGACTTTACAATTATTTGAATCATTTTATTTTGATACATATGCTTCAAGATAAAAGAAAATCCTTCTGGCGACTTTCAAAGAATGCATCGTCACATATCAAAAGGAGGATGGGCCTTCTCCGATCAAGATCATGGATGGCAAATTTCTGACTGTACTGCTGAAAATTTATTGGTAATATTTGTAAATTAAGAATTTAACTTGCATGAAATTAGAAATTAGAAACAAATAGCTAATTTCTAATATACAAATATTCTTGCAGTGTTGTTTGAAATTCTCAACGATGCCTTCAGACATTGTAGGAGATCCTATGGAACCACAATGCTTTTTTGATGCTATCAATGTCATACTTTCTCTCCAGGTAGTGATTATAATTCAAATGTCTCATATTGCATTTAAATTAATTATAATGAATAATGAATCATTTTATAATATTAATTAGTATTCGTTGTTATATTTTTAATTAAGTTTTGCTTTAACGAGATAGGCGTCAAATGGTGGAATGGCAGCTTGGGAGCCAACAGGCACTGTATCTTCTTGGTTTGAGGTAAACAAATTGTATGATATATGATAGCTAGAATTTAAATCTTCATTAAAAAATTAGACTACTAATTAATTTATATATTTTTTTGTGACCTTATCCTTCACAGAATTTGAATCCAGTGGAATTCTTAGAATACTCTGTATTGGAGCTTGAGTATGTAAATAATTCTGTCAAATTTTAAATTTTATCCATTTTAAACCTTTTTTTTTTCTAATAAATGAAATCAGTAAACAGATACGTAGAATGTACATCATCAGCGGTACAAGCGGTAGTGCTATTTAAGAAGCTATTTCCAAGCCACAGGAAGGAAGAGATCGAGGCTTTTATAGAAAAAGCAATAAAATACATCAAAGAAACGCAAAAGGAAGATGGATCATGGTACGGAAATTGGGGAATTTGTCACTTATATGCTACGTATTTTGCTATAAAAGGATTAGTGGCAGCTGGAAACACGTACAATAATTGCACAGCAATGAGAAGAGGTGTGGATTTTCTACTCAAACTTCAATGTGCAGATGGTGGTTGGGGAGAGAGCCATATTTCATGTATAAAAAAAGTTCATACACCTCTTCAAGACAATACTTCTAATCTGGTTCAGACTTCTTTTGCTTTAATGGCTTTGATCCATGCTCAACAGGTCAGTTCTTGTTTCCATTTCATTACTATAAATAAACTATTAATATTCATGGGTTATATCTCAAACCAATTGGGAATTAAAGGAGTAGTTTATATGTATCTTATAAACCTTACTTAATACGTTTTTTATTTTTTCGATGTCGGACCCTTAACCTGCCTCCCCTCAAGATGGTGATTCTTTTGAATTCATCAATCTTGGTAGGATCCCATTTTTAGATTAAATGACTGTTTGAATATGTTAACTATGATTTTGAGATAAACCTCCATGAATATTAATAAAAATAAATAATATATAATCAATAAATGATTACAGGCAGAGAGGGACCTGACTCCTCTTCACCGTGCTGCCAAAGTATTGATTAATTCTCAATTGGAAGATGGTGATTATCCTCAACAGGTGGGTATGATATTTTCATTAATTAGTTCAATTTGATTTTATTAATTATTGCTTATGTAAAAAAAATTTATCTATATGGCAGGAAATAACTGGAGTATTTATGACCACCTGCATGCTACATTATGCACTGTATAGGAATGTCTTTCCCCTATGGGCACTTGCAGAGTATCGGAATTTGATCTTCTTTCCTTAATATTTCAACCTCTCAGTTGACAAGTAAAACTGTTCGTTGTTCAAACCCTTGGTTGAATCTTTGCATCAAGTCATACTTCATCTTTTCATTATATATAGTTTTGCATTTTAATAAGCAAAATGTTTATCTTCTTGAAACTCATTAAGTTGTATCCGTTGGCTTTTTGGCCCTTTTTAATTAATTATTATTTTGATGATAACAAACATACTTAGTATTAATTGTTTTTAGTGTGTAAGTTGTTGACAAAAAAAAAAAAAACCAATTGATCCTCCTATATAAGTTGTTCAAACAATATCTATTTGATTTTCACCTTATAGTAAGTAATAACAAAAAGAATAGAAGATAGGGATAGAAAAGCTTAACACTAGAGGTTATACTAGTTCACCCCAATCTTGGGATTACATCCAGTCTTCTACAAAATCACGTTCTACTATAATGAGAAGATTACAATGGACATTTCTTTCTCTCTATAGAACTATCTCAAGATATCACCTACAATGAATACCTTGCTTCTCAGTACCTTCAATAATCGCTACCTAAGATTACACAATAAAAAACACTCTCAGTAAACTCATGAGATACAGATTACTCTATTTTTACACACTGCCCACAACCACTCGATTCTCTTTTAGATTCTATACAAATAAAACCGTAACAAAATAGCTATATTTATACGAAGGAATATCCTAAAATGTGTAAGAAACAATATTAATCATTGTGGAAAGTCACAGTAGTGTTGAAAATTCTTTTCCTCGTAGGACACAAGTTTCATATTTTGTTTCACAGGCAGTTGCCTTTATCAGATTGTATTTGTCGATGAATGTGGCAAGTCTCGTAGCAAATGAAACGACAGCAATAAATCTGATGAAAGCACTGGATAATAGGTACGAGAAATCCTTAGCTAATAATAAGGTTTATCTTGTAAGGAGATTCTTTAACATTCAAATGGAAGAGAATACTTCTGTCAATTCCCACATAAATGAGGTCACAAAATTAATCAATCAATTGACATAAGTTAAGATTACTTTTAGAGACGAAGTGAATGCTATTAAATTGCTAACATCTTTACCTGAAAGTTGGGAAACGATGAAGATAACAGTGTCCAATTCGTTAGAAGACACATTTTTGAAATTTTCAGAAATTTGTGATGCAGCAATTGCTGAAGAAATTCGAAAAAATGGTAGTGGAAAATAATCTACTATCGAACAAAACTCAGCATTGGCTGTCGAAAAAGGTAAAGAGAAGGGTGCGTCTGATGACAGGCAGCCCAAGCATAGTAGGAGAGATTGGAAGAGAGACGCTGAATGTTACTCTAAAGTCAAGCACGCTTAACTTTAGAGTTCTTATGATTGAGCCACCGAAAAGGAAGGTACACCTTGTTGGTATAGGTAGTGACTATCAATTCTTTTAAGCCGTTATTGACAATTCTTCCATGATCTCAGGATCCCTCTCATTTGGATGTGGTATCGGTTCATTCGTGTACCCCTCCTCTCTAGTCGAACGTCACATGACAAGGTGCACCTTTATTTTCGGTGGTTCAATCATAAGAACTCCAAAGTTAAGCGTGCTTGACTTGGAGCAATCTTGGGTTGGGTGATCTCTTAGTTGGTTTACTAGGAAGCATGTGAGTGAGGACAAAGCATGCTGGAAGGACTCGTGTTGGTCTGTAGGGGCAGTCTACGCTCTTCTAAGTGCCTCAGAGATTAACGGAGAACAGTCTGTATGCGAAGTTCTCGAGATGCGGTTTTGGTTGGATAAGGTGGCCTTCCTTGGCCACATAGTCACTAGGGAGGGTATTGTCGTGGACCCTACCAAAGTAGAGGCGGTCAGTGGTTGGCCAAAGCCTCGCACAGTGACCGAAATCCGCAGTTTTCTCGGACTAGCTGACTATTAGAGAAAGTTCGTCCAAGATTTTTCCCGATTGGCGGCGCCTTTGACTCAGTTGACCTGTAAGAATGCCACCTTCGCTTGGAGCGACGGATGCGAGAAAAGTTTCCAAGAACTAAAGGAGCGATTGGTCACGGCCCCGGTGCTAACGGTAACTGATGGGACGGGAGGTTTAGTGGTGTATAGTGATGCTTCACGGAGAGGTTTGGGTTGCGTTCTGATGTAGCATGGGAAAGTCATTGCCTATGCCTCGCGGCAGTTAAAGGTACACGAGCTTAACTACCCCACCCATGATTTGGAGCTTGCTATGGTGGTGTTTGCCTTGAAGATATGGAGAAAGGATCCAAATCTTCACTGACCACCAAAGTTTGAAATATTTCTTCACTCAGAAAGAACTTAACCTAAGGCAGAGGAGATGGTTAGAACTGGTAAAGGACTATGACTGACTGGGCGTTTATGCTGAACGCACGCACTAAGCGTGATAACAATTATATAGATGCAAGCGCACACCTGTCAGAGTAATATAAAATGGATGGAGTATCCAAGTATCGATCCTCAAGGACTTCTAAATAATTTCCAAACTCTRAAGTTTTAAWGAATAGTGARTGYTGAAATSAGTGATTYTTGTAAAATGGGAAGTGGTCACAAATAATGGTTTTGGATTTGGGATTTGGACTTATAATGATAAAACCTAGCCCGAATTACTTCAAGTTAGCCAACAAAGAATCAAGGACATGCTAAGGATAATATGCATTTTACTTTAGAAACCAACGACTACGCTTCTCACTTGACTTATGTCTAAGCAAGTTCAAAGTCCTAAGACATTCCCTAATATGTCTATTA